CCCCCCCCCCCCCACCCCCCCTCCTGCGAGCAAGCGCGATGCGCGAGAAACCTGGCACGAACGAAACCCGTCCATCCGTTCCTCTTTTCTGCGATAATAGACAAGCCGCGGCACACAAAAAGTTGTGTGCGTTGTTGTGTTGTTCTCTTGCTACTGCTGTCTGTAGTTGCTGTCGGTTCGCACTCTTGTGTCTGGTGACTTCGAGGAAGAGAGGTCGTAACACTCTCCTCTGAATGAGTGGAGTTTCGGTTGTTGTGGGCAACATGTGTGCCTTGTTCTGCTGTCGCTTGCTGTGCGTGCCGTTCGTCCGAGCAAGTTGCCTAGGTAGGCAATCGCGGTTCAGCGGAGAGATTTGAGTTGGTCCCGTGCGAGATTTGGCGGCGGCAGGGAGAACGGACTTATTGTTGTGGTTCATTCTTTTGTCCGTCCAAAAAAAAAAAAAAAACAGACCTGGCTGTGTTTTCATTGGCCAGCCGCCCAGTAAGCGCGACCCGTGCAAAAAATGGTTATGCACAGCAACGGGTGTTGGCGTTGTCAGTGCCGAGACGCGGCTGATGCCTTTACTGATTTGGCCAACCAGTAGCTGGCCCTGTCAAATGTTTAACATTCGCCACACATCTGATGTCTGGGTTTGATTGGCCACTCTGTGGCGCTGTCACACGTCTGTCAAAACCCACTGCCTTTTGTGTGATTGGCCAAACAGAGTGGCGTTGTCAAACGTGAACCAAAATCCACACACAGCAGTAGCACAACGTGGGGTGAGCCCCCCCGAAGAGTCCGTATGCCCTACCGCGGGGCCCCTCTCATGGAAGAAAATGCCGCATATCATATGCATAGCCCAAGCAAGGCACAGGGAGAAGCGCTTGCTTGAGGTCCCATGTGTGCTTCCTGCGTTGAAGCACCAGCAGCGCACACCTCCGAGACGACCTTCAGGACAACCACCTTAACTCAAGAGTGAATAAAGTATCTTGTGTGTCTCTCTTTTCCTGATTTAGCGTGTAAATGTTGGGGTGGAACGACGACACATACTGCTCGCAACACCCAATTACGTGCTGTAGGTGCCCCCGGCAAACGATGTGCCGATCCAGTCGCACCCACCTACCTACCAAAAAACGCCTCAATCGAAACGCGTATGCCGGCATGAGGGCATGAACACCTTGGAGGCAATGGGATCGCAAGAGGAGACAAACGAAAACAATTAGACCAAAAAAAAATGCAAGACGAGTCGATCATCACGCTGGGGAACAAACAACAACGACAACAAGAGAGCACTATACAAATATCAATTCAAGTCATCGATCAGCCTGTTGAGGCGCGGTCGATTCTAGAAAAATGCACTCACGAACAAGAAAAAACACATTTTACAAGCGCGACGGATTGGCATGGTCGATGCCATGCGGAAAGCAGCAAAAGAAAGAGGCGAGACGACTCCGTCCGATGTGGTTCTAATTTTGGTACTACTCATCCTTCCCGTTCCGCTTACAACACACACTCAAGACACACTTCCCTGCTAACTTAAAACAGACCTCATCGATGATGATAGGAAGAGTTGCTCGCGCCGACCTTGGAAAAAATAATGTACATCAACGGTCGGTCTCATATCATCTCCCAGAGCACCATCCTCTCTACTACGGTAGTAGCGTAATCTCGACGGCGTTCGTTCCCGCCCCGACCCAAGCAAATGACGCCGACGACATGTTATATTCACCGAGAAGCTTCCACCCGTTGAGCCTACACCCGGACATGACCGGGGTGTGTACTATACCGTAGTGCCGCTACGCTGTGAATCCAGATAACACAACATCGTCTGGGGTGGCCGATTCCCCAACCTTTTCGCCCAGTCGACTGCTGATCAAAAACATGGCCGCGCGAGCTCCATTCTCTCTCGAATGAATCAAATAACGTCATGGGAGGAGGCGTGCTACTCTAGTAGCGAACGATCGCCAGGAAGATGGCGCGAAGAACAGCAGTTTCGATATCCACTGCCGGGAAACGGAAATTCTTCATCAGTGAACCATGACCGGAAAAAAACAACGAGTTAATCGCTGTCAGTTACAAAGACCTGGAGGTACATGTGGCTGGGTACACGGCGCCATATGAACGCAGCCCCTGACAAAATGACGCCTCGAACACGCAGGAGAGAGCACTGGTCTACGAACAACAGAAAGAACGGCAAATCCGGCCTCTCTCGAACAATCGAAACAACGAAGATCCACACGAAGCCAACATAGAATAATACCTCGAAGTTTAAAGGACAACACCACTTTTCACTGCTGCACTGCTTATTATCACTTGTCTACAGAACAAGGCCGTTCCAAAAATTAGAGGGCTCAGTGACGTCGCTCACAAAACGGATACATACAGTGTTGAGTACCGCCTCTGCCCTCGTGCACCCCCCCCAAGCCAGACCTACAACGCACGATAGCGAAATACTCGCCAACTACAAAAGCCATGTATCGGGACGGCGAAAAGGACAAAGGCCTTGTGTTTTCACGCCGCCTCTTCAAAGGTTCCCTCCGACCTCGCCATCGGAAAAAACACCACGGCGTCCGATCACTCCACCCATAGCTGCTCGCGGCACAAACCGCCGCTGCTGCGTTAAGAGATGCAACAAGGTCCCGGTTTCTTCTGCTTAGACTATCGCTACGGCGGGCGACTCGAAGACCTTCTTGGACAAGGAGGCGTGCTTCCGGCGCAACCGCTCCCTGACGGCGAGGGTGAACGGCTCTCCCCTCTCGGCGCTGGTTCGGTCGTTTCGCACGGTCTCGGTCCTCGTCGGCAGCTGGTCGTCGAAAATGAGAGAGAAAGAAAAAACGGGATAGAGAGAGAGGGAGGGAGGGAGCAAGGGGTAGGACCGCCTTTCTCTCGTGAAAGCAGCAAAGTTTGGTTGTGAGCAACTAGAACAGGGAGGGGGTACGCAGACCCTATCCCCTATCCCTAACCCTGATCCAGCTCCCCCGACTGCATGCATTATCCAACGTGTTTCACCTGAACGACAAACCCTGCGAACGCTACCGGAAGGATGCCAGGGGGCGGGGGGGAGAAGGCCCCCCCGAAAACAAAGTCAACAAATGGTGCTTGTGAAAGTGACCAGCTGGATGGCAACGAGCCGAGAGTATATCTTTTGTTAGTAAGGCTTACCCATTAGACTACTCAGTCAGCGCTGACTGAGTAGTCTAATGGGTAAGCCTTTCTAACACAGCAGCAACAGACTTGTGGTAGCAGCAGACGCAGCAGCAGCAGCAGCAGCAGCAGCAGCAGCAGCAGCAGCAGCAGCAGGAACAGCAGGAACAGCAACGGCGGTGAACGCTCTCCCTCTCTCGGCCGCTGTCCGCCTCGATCAATGTGCTGAACGAGAGAGAATAAACTTACGCCACAGTTTCAACCACGAGAAACAACAAAATAACACATAACCGTCGAGTGACTGGTCGGGTCGGTCTTCTCGGCATCCGTTGCTTGGAACCGCGATACACGCGAGAGAAGGGGCCGCGTCGAAAACAGCTTCCCCTTTCGTTTCCGCCACACCACCGCTGCCCGATTCGGGTGAGGCGGCGTGCGTGAAGCGGCAAGCGAATACCCCCGCTCCCCCCAACGGAAGTATGGGAAGGAAATAAGAAGGTAGTCAAAGAGCTCGAGGCGGTGCAGATGAAAACAACGAAAACCATCCTAGGATGATCCAAGCGCACAAGTAATGCAGCCGTCAGGGCAGAATTGGGGATCCAATCCCTACGGTCGGGAAGAGACGCAAGGAAGCCGACATGGCAGTATCGCATGTTCGGGATGGGAGAGGAGAGGTTGCCGAGAATAGTATCGGAGGCGAAGTGGGCAAAAAACAAAGAGGGGTAGACAACCCACGGAATGGGTCAAGGTTGTAGAGGACGTATGGAAGGGGTTAGACATCGACGAAGATGAAACGCTGGAAACGGAGGGTCTACAGGGGTTCAAGGAGAAGATATCTGTTGCTTGTGCCGAGAGAGAAGAACAGAATCTAAGGAAAGAAACCGAGGATAACGAGGGTCTAGAAGTGTACGGAAGGTTGAAAGAAGGAATAGGGTTCAAGGATTACCTACATGGACCAATGGAGGCAGGGACAAAGCTTAAGGTCAAATTCAGGACCGGGGACATAGGCCTTCGAGAACGTCGACGAAGACATACGACGGCAGACGACGAAGACGACAAGTTCAAATGTGATTGCGGCTTCGAATGCGAAGACCGTGTTCATGTAGTCGCGGAATGTTGGCTGTACGAAGAGGAGAGGGAAGTGCACACGACTGAGCTGGGAAAATACAAGGGAAGTACAGGGATGTTTGAGGCATGGAATAGAGAGGAGATGACGGTAGCTGTACTGGGGAGTAGGAAGTGGTTTGAAAAGGCGGGAAGGGATATCGTTAGGATAGACAGACTAGGGAAGACATTTTTGAGTCACATTTGGCAAAGTAGGAAGGAACGATTGGCCATCGGTGATCGTTCCTGTGGGGAAAATGCTCCGTCCTCTCGAGGACGCGTGGTCAATGGTCTAACCGCTAAGGCATGCAAAACATAAGAGTACGCCCCCGCCCCCCCCTCCCAGTAGCA